AAAAAAAAAAAAGAAATGGTCAGAAGGAAGACATACATATATATGTGCATATATATACATATATATATACGCATACAAAAGAATTTCTACGTGTATGTTTCTGCACACTAACCTGAGACAGAGGGAGTAGTTTTTATGTACTACGACTGACCTGTAGCAGAGAGCCATCAGAGCAAATACTATGAAAACACCCCCTACCACCGACATGAGCACACCAACTAAAAATACAGTGTTAGAGCCGTGGTAGTTCTCTGTGACGATCAGATTCACGTGTTAGTTAGTAAGTCAGTTTTACACATCGTTAGAATTGCATTGGCCGTTGGGTCGTCACGTGTCAAAACGAGATCGCCGATGTATCCGACATCGGCATCGAGATCGAGTATACCATTGTTCAGGCAGGCGCGCGGTTATTACAGATGATTTATTTCGGTATCCGAGCGTCCCACAGCATGCAGACAGACAGAGATGGCAGTGACAGACAGAAACAGACAAGAAACAGAGAAGCCAGAATCAGCACATATACATATACATGGACGTATAAGTTCGTCGTACGCGCACGCATTCGCGCGGCGAGCCACCATTGATAACCCATTTGGAATCGCAATCGACGCTACACGCGCGATCATCCCTTGGATTTGGATACTTTCGACTCGCCTGGTCTTCTTTGTTCGAACGATAGCTATCTCTAGATTTCGTCAGTATTTCCTAACCCGTGACCCGCGGTCCTCCCACGCATATCACATATTCGAATAAAATTTTATTCTATTTTACTGAACTATCTTACCTACTAATAGTATCTTAGTCAAATATCTAAGTAGATAAGATAGCACGTTGTTGAATTCATTATTTCTTAAAGTATATTATTTGAGAGAAAGCGCGTCAAAATTATACAAAAATGGTCCGTGGTAGTCAGAAGGTTAAGAAACATTGACTTACGTTGTAGATGATAGACTGCGGATGTTTATGCAAGCGTAGATAAAGAAAGTAGATTCCGGATGGACATTTGTTGAAATTTACTAATTGTTATAATGAGACCTCTATCTTAGACACTTTGTACGATATCCCAAAAATACACGAACATTCGTAGTCTAGTTATAGGTTGTTTTTGTTCTCGTCCGGTGTCCGAGTCGAAAGATCCTTTGCCAACTAATTTTTCGATTGACATCGACGAAGACACGATATCGCGATCGAACTGTCGTCTGGTTGTTACACTACCGATCGAAAGTTTGGAGCAATCTTTACTTTCTGCATGAGACAAAAGTTCTTCAGACGTTTCTTTGAGGAATAAGACTATTATTTAAATGTTATAATTTAAATCTAATTCATCCATTAAGGACCAAGTAATAATTTTATCGTAATATATACTTCAATAATATAATAATATATACTTATATTCAATTTACATTTCATGTTATATTATATTATAATTTGCATTCAATTAAATCATATTGTATCATATTCAGTTTATAAATACTTCAAATTTCTTTAAATTTCTCGAAATTAACAGATTCAGGTGAACATCTAGGTAACAATGAAGAGTGACATCGAAACGAATCTTCAGAATCTTCTTTCATCAACTTCAAAATTTAAAACGGTAGAATTTGACGACGTAAAATGAATGAGAAGAATTGCAAATGTAATGTTGGTCCTCAGTGGGTCAATTAACACGTTGATTGCCTCGCGGAATTTTGTACATCTAAACGACGAAATATTGAATTTTTATGAAGTATAATAAAAACACACGTTTCATTTTGTAGCATCATCCATGTAGTTATTTTTTGACGATGATATCTGCAGTGGTGGACAAAAGAAAGTTTAAACATGGCTTATAAAATACTCTAAAAAGTACATTAGATAAGTTTATAAGGTATACTAGATATTTTTTCATTAATATTAATATGTATTATTTATATTATTATTATTAATAATTATATTCATTACGTTTATTAAATATTATACTATTAAATTATTTAATTATGATATTTATTACGATGTAATATATTACATCGAAATTCTATTTCATAAAACTATGCATCACCTAGTGTTACTTGGCATTTAATCTTCCTTTTATCCGCCATCTTGTATCTTACTCTTAATTATTCCATCGTGACAATCAACCTACCAAAGTTTCACTGACGTTACAAATCAAATGCAAATTTATTGCAAGATTTCCCTTGAAATTTTAATCTGTGCTCTAAATTTCTCAGTGGCAGTGTACACATGCCAGAATTAACAGACTCTACATCGTAAACCATTTGACTGTTCGGACTGTTTCGAGGGGACGACGTTCGTTTTTTTTTTTTTTTTTTCGCTAATCAGCCTTATTCATGCTTTTATAGGGCATACAAGCAGCTGGCACATTGGCGTTGTAGTGGATCGTGTATCGAGTATTGCACTCGAAGGGACGAATTGCGCAACGAAACGTCCCATGCATCCGATCTTTTTCACCAGATAGACGCAATCCTCGTACGCATGGTTGTATAAAAGCTCTTCGTCCCTTGGTATGCGATACCAAGTGGAAAATGTAGAGATCCCTCGCTCGTGCAGCATAGTCGTGATCATTCATACGCGCTATGCGAGCACGAGCACATTCAGAGCACACCATTGAAGAAACAGTAGTAGTAGTAGTACACGCACACGCACACGCACACGCACGCACACATACACTAGTGGACAAGATTATGAAACAGTTTATATAGTCGTAAATTTTGCATATTTAAAAGAAAAGGACACGCACAATCTGCAGAGTTCCGAGCACGCAGAATTTTGAATTCAGCTGGAAAGTTTGAGACATTGTTTTGTTTTACTTTTATAGATTTTTGGATTTTTTTCTATTTTGATATCTTCAGTATGTTATATATGGCTCGGTGAATTGTACTTCATAATTTCGCAATTTTGTTAGTATTAGTTTCCTGCTTTTCCTTCGTTTTTACCTAACACTTTTTCTCGTCTCGTTACCTCTTCTCCCTTTTAGACAAATGAACTAATGCAGCGAATTTTTATGCATTTATTGAAAATTTTGAAACACGAAGTTTACACTTATAATGTACATGATATATAAGTTATTATTAGTATCTTTTCATAGTATTTGATGCGTAGAACGATTCTTTTTTTTCTTTTCATTATAGTTTCAAAAATATAAATCTGCATTACAATTAGATGATAGATTTGAATAACTAGCGACAAAAACCACAGCAATGAAAGATAAATTATCAACTGACGTTTCTTTCTCTATCTCTCCTCTTATATATCGTAAAAGAATTTCTACATAATAAAGTTTTTCTAAATATATCATCAATTCTGTGTGTTCACTCTATAAATATTTTCTTCTTTCAAATATACGTACTTCTTACAAATACATAAAGTGTCTCACAATCGTTCACTAGTGTATATACTATATATATATAAATATTTGGAATATCTATATATGTATATAATATATATATATATATACATGTAAGTAAACATCGAATAAGTAGGCTAAGATGAATTAATATCATGAGAGCAATTGATGGCCGCGTGCGATGCCTCATCATCCAGCTAGCCACGAATTATGTACTTGACAATGACAGGCGGGCAGGTCGAACCCACTCAAGAACTTTTATCTTGCTACTGTACCTGTAGCAAACAGCCATTAGTGCAAAACAAATGAAGACTCCTTTGACCACACCCACCAGGATTAATACCATCGTCCCGGTGCTAAGAGTGTTGTTCTTTGATTCTGAAATGACCATCAGATTTTGTAATCCACTGGCGTCAGAACGTGGTGTATAGATTGCGTGTTGGATGATACTCGTTTTATTTGTACGAAAGCAAGTTGCTTGTTTTGATTGATTCTGCGAGTATGCCTGACGAGATTAACCCCTCTATGGATAAAATAAGGCTACGAAACACTAGGACGCATTGTAACTAATTGCTTCTCCCTTTTTTGCTTCACGTAATCTGAACGATATCGGTACGATATCGATCCGTAAAAAGTATTCGTAACACATTCGATGAAAAATTGTCGATACCTTAAACTGTTGTAACTTTGCGAATAGAAATCGTACAACAACTTTTCAATCTTCGAGACTATAGGTTTAATTGTGAAGAAAATTGTTTCATTTTTATAAAGATATATTTAAATTGTTACATTTTATGTATCTTTATTTATTTATCCTCTCTAAAAGTATGTAAACATATTTTTAATTACAAAAGTAGTGGCCTCGTGCTTTAAAATGAACTCAGATAGATTATTGTGTAATTTTTCTCACGAAGTTACAGCAATTTAAAATGTCGATAATTTTTTATCGATTATGAAATTGGTACTTGCTCCGTCGGGCAAGAATACGGTCGACATTCTAAATTGTAATTTTTTTTATAATAAAAATCGTAAAACAATTCGTCTGAATTCATTTTAAAGTATTTCAGAATACTAAACTCAGTTTTTCCAAAGATATTTTTATCATCTCAAAGAGAATATATAATGCGCTTTTCTTCCTGCGAATTCTGCAAATTCAAATATTTTTATGAACACTGAACAATTTTTTCCATAATTAAATCTATCATGATCTTGAAGATTGAAATTTCCCCTTCACAACGAGTCCTTAAAATTTGTTGTACAATCTTTTTTTACAAAGTTATACAAGTTTAAAATATCGACAATTTTGCATGGAATAATTTGACAATTTACTCGAATAAGAAACAATGAAATGATGCATAGATAAATGTGTTAAAATAATTGCATTAGTAGTTGACACTTTTCTTAATTAAAGAAAAAAAAAAAAAAGAAAAAAATACACTGTTTAAAACGTGGTGTATTCTAATGTGAAGATTTATAATTATTTTTGTTACAAGTTATCTAACAATAGATGATAGAATAGCTGCTTTTATTTATTGTCTATTGGATGATCCGTTTTTCTTGAAAAACTTCTTAATCCATTGAAGATCAAGCAATAATACAATAAATACTTGAATTTTTGAAAATTTCATAAAATAATAAAATCTAAGTGGAAGATAAAATGATATGAAATATTCATATCAATTCATCTTAATATAAGAAATAAAATTGATTGGAAAGAATTACAAGTGAAATGTATATTCATCAATGCAACGTCTTAATAAGTTGAGGAAATAAACTAACTCAAAGAAAATTATTGATTTCTAAAGAAATTAGTTATTTAAACTTAAGGAGATAAGCTAATTCAAACAAAATTATTTTCTTTTTTATTCTAAAAAATGTCAATCATTATACACATTATAGGAAGGATGGATATACTATTAATATTTGATCATCATAAGCTATGAATTACTGATATTTGAGGTTTGCCAAACGCTGGTACATATATAAATATAGATTTGCATTGATATTAATATCAACTGACTGAAAACTACATTTATTATGTACGATCAATATCAACATATCCAAAATAATTTCCAAATCTTCAGATCTTATTATATTTGGATAATTTAACAGATATAAAAATATTGATTTTCTAAATCCTTTAATATACGTATAATGATAAAAATATATTGTTGATAACAATATCTAGTTCAACAGTACCTAGCTAATTATAAACAAACATCAAAGCATGTTTTTAAGAATTTAATTAGGATACATGTATATAATACAATATTGTAGTATCATATACATGTATATTATAAAATATTATAATATTGTTGTAATATGTATGGAAATGAGTATTATAATATTATATAATATTGTAATACTATACATTGTATAATATATAATATTATATGATATTGTAATATTGTTGTATTGTCTGAAAATGATCATTATCATATAATATGGTAATATTGTTGAAATGTCTGGAAATAAGTATTATAATATTATATAATATTCTAATATTATTTCCAGATATTATAACTATATTGTATTGTATATAATATTACATATACAATGTAATATTGTACATTGTATATAATATTACATAATATTGTAAAATTATTGTGATATCTTGTAATATTGTCATGTTTGGGAATAAGTACTGTATAATATTTTAATATATAGTGTCTGGGAATGAGTATTATAATATTATATAATACTGTGTATATTGCGTATGATATTGTAAAATTATTGTAACACCCAGAAACAAATATTATAATATTATATAATATTCTAATGTTGTTGTAATGACCGGAAAATGAGTATTATGATATTGTATATTGTATATAATGTTATTGTAATATTATATATTGTATATAATAGTATACGATATTCTGATGTTGCCATAACGTCTGGAATCGGTACTATAATATACAATACATACTTTATAATATCCGATAATGAGGTTTATAATGTCAACTACTGATACATTTATCCCTATTAACGAGGTGCGTTCAAATCTGTAGTTAAGTTGAAATTTCCCTCGCGTTCGACTCAGGAGAACCATCGAAAATTATGTAATCCGTACGATCGTGAAATATCAGACTCGTCCGATCGTTGTGAAAAATCGTCGTAATTAAAGTCGTCTGCGAAGCGTTTTGCTTGTAACTTGTGATTATTCTTTCTCTCCCTCTCTTTTCCATCAAGGAAGAGAAGGACAGACAAAGAAAGAAGTTTCGAAATGTGTTAGTTGGTGAATCGAAAAGTGGAAAACTGTAATCGAGTAAGCTTATCGGTCCGTACTCTATGTATGTATAGATCCATATATACATATATACATACATACATATATAC